GTCCGCTGGGGCGCTGCGGGCGCGGCTGCCTCGGCCGCGGTGCGTGCGCCATTAGGCGGGAACCAGCCCGTGCACGCACCTGCTTTCTGAGAGTCGCGTGTTGACTGACTGTCGGGCAGGCGTCTCTAGCTAAAAGGGTTTAAAGTGGCAGCTGCTGGAAAGACAGCTTCAGGGGATGCGCCGGGCTGGCTTTCCTCCCCGCGTTATTCTTACCTAACCAAATGTTTTATGACTTTCCCAGGCAGTTGCCTTGCTTCTCCACAGAGAGTTTGTGGAGAGCCTCGAGGGGTCTCCAGGGGTGGAATGTCTGTTACCCTGCTGTCAACAACTGAATTCTGGGGGCCAAGTGTTCCCAAATTGAAAGACCCATTTGCTCCCTCCGTGAAGAAATGCTTTTAGCTTTGGTTTTGAGGTTACACGCGCCCTTCCACGTGTGCGCCGGTCCCCTCAGGCTCCGCCCCGCTGGCCGTGCCACACCCCGGCCCCCTCCCTCACCCCAGCCCCCCCAGCTCTGCCCCTCCCCTCCCCACCCCCATCTCCCTCCCGTGTGCCCCTGTATTCTTTCACCAAGTCCAAGATCATCCCTGCTGTATGTCACTGCTGTGCTTGCTGAGTTATGTTGCACTGATGAATGAAACCATCTGCATTTACATTTCACTTTCTGACGGATTTCCCTTAAGGCCATCACCCCACACCGAGCCTCGCTGTCCACGATTGCCGGTCAGCGTTTCGTCTTGACCTCTTTAATGGCCTGTACGGGAGCTCCGTCGCACCCCATGGTGCTTCGGATGATGCCCTATCACGGGATACACATACTTGTATTGAGTTTTGCTGCTGGGTAAACGGAGATGCCCAGGTCTCCCGGTAACACGCTGGCTCTGCTGGCTCCACGGGAGGGACCCTGGTCCCCTCCAGCGCCACTAACGTCAGTAAGCGCGCAAGCTTGGACGCTGTCTGGAGGGGCCCGTCCTTCTCTGACCCTGCATGGGAACATGTTGCCCATTAGAAATTATCCCAGGGCCCTCCCTGGTGGCTCATTGGGTTAAAGCGCAGCACGATGAAGCTGGCCGCAGCCACTGCAGCACAAGTTCGATCCCTGGCCAGGGAGTGACCACAGGGCGCAGCAGACCCCTCCTGTCTCCCCACTGCTCCCCTCAGCAGTGCATTTCGGTCAGTCAGCTCATCTGCTCCCCACTCTGTCTCTGATGAGTCCTCTCACACACACACACACACACACACACACACACACCCCGCACCTCTGGCCTGTACCCAGTTCTTGCATGCATAAATAAAAAATAAAAATTTTTGTTAAAAAACTTATCCCAACACCTCATGGCATCAGACCACGCAGATGTTCTCGTGGTTTCTGAAGAAAGACAGCAAGCTGGTCGCGTGTACTGCGGGTTTCCTAGGCCAGGGCGTTGAGGGCAGTTTCGTCCCTTTCTTCTCAGGGAGCCCACAGGGCAGCACTCAGGTGGACAGACAGAGCAACAGTCCCTGAGAGCCCACTCTGGGCGGGAGGGCCGGTGACGAAGGAGGGGAGACTCATCTTCCCTCAACTGTGGGTAGGAGGCTCTGTGCTGGGCCACTGGGGCCCCTCCGGAGGATGGTCAGCGAGGAGAGTGGCCGCCGACACCCCTCTGGTCAGGTGACCCGCAGAGAGCAGGGCAGAGCTGCAGTGTCCTTTGACCTGGCTCTGGACACCACTCTTGGTCACCCTCGTTGCTGCTGTGGACCCACGAGGCAGCCCTTGCTTGTGTGGAAGGAATCGTGAGAAGGCCGGGAGGTGGGAGTACCCGGAGCGGCCTGAGGCTGCCCACCGGGGAGCCCGCCCACAGCGCCCCCAGGCTGCCCCCACCGGGCGGGCCATCTCCGTGCATAGGTGCCGTGGTTCCTTTCATTCATCTGTGTGCGCATCTGATAACTCGCGCCCTCCGCCTCCCCCTGGTGACCCGGCAGCCTCTCACCGGCTGCTACCCTCCTGTGTTTCACTCAAGGCAGACATGCCCGACGTCCTCTCTGATGTCCATTCCTTTTGTAGCAAGTGTGAGCCATGTGAGCCGCTGCAGGAGGCAGTGCTGGGGCCCGTGTCATGCTCACCGCGCACCGCTCAAGCCCTCGCGGCCGCCCTTGAAGGGAGCAAGGAGATGCCGCGGGCCCCTGGACACCAGCCACGTCCCTCTGTGCGGTGAGAAGGCGCAGCCTCCGCCCTTCCCGATGAGAAGGGCCCGACCCCGCCAGCCCGGACAGCCGTCCTTCTTGCCATGTTTCAGTGCGAGGCTGAAGCGGGCTGGCTGCGGTCTGGCCTGGCTTCCAGGGCCCTGCCCTGTCCGGAGCGCCGGCCTCTCTCCGTGGCATCTGCAGTGGCCTCGGCTCCACTCCTTGCTGGGAGGGCCACGGTGGCCTGCGGTGGCCTTCATCTTGCTGTGTGTCCTCGCGTGTGCCAGACACTGGGTCCTTAACGGGGCCCCGGCAGCGTCTGCCACCCATGGCTCCCAGCGGGTGGCGTCAGGGAATGGAGGCTGTGCCCGAACCCCTGCAAGGCCTCCCTCCTCCTGGACCACGTTCCGGTTAGCCGAGGGCACACGTGTGCACGGGCTGCTGTGCTCCGCAGACCGACATTCTGTCTGTCCTCCCGCCGCGGACGGGGAAGGGGCGTATTTGCTCAGCTGAAGGCCGTCTGCTGTCCCTCCGGCCGGCCTGTCTAGAGCACAGGGCCACACCTGCCCGTGGGGTGACCGTGCGGCCATCCCGTTCACCTGCTGTTTACTCCATGTCCACCTGTTCTCCGGCGTCCCACATGAGGGGCGCAGGTCAGGTCGAAGGGCTGCATGGACGCCGTGGCTGGAGCGGGATGAGCAGCTTCTCACATGCAGCTGCTCCGTGGGGTCCCGGCGAGAGTGGGGTGTGCGTGTGACCTGGCGGAAGTCGGGGTCCGTGTCATCCTCTTGACACTGGGGAGCAGGGCCTCCCTCACTGAAGAGAGAGAAGAGGGTGGAGGCTCAGAACACAGTCAGTGCTCTTTGAAAAGGCCTGGGACGGGCGAACGGGGCCCTGAGAGTGGCCGCTGGGTCCGTGGAAACGGAGGTGCCGCCGGGCACTGGCCTAGGCTGAGCTCACCAGCCTCTGGCCCGGTGCTGAGAGGCCTGCACAACCCCCCATGTGGTATAGTAGCTACTGCTATGAAGTCAGTGGGAAAAGAGAAATTTTTGAAAATATGTTCATTGCTAAGACATAATTATCCCATATTTATATTTATTTTTCTGGAAAAAGGGCTTATTTACTGCTCTTCTATCTTAAGAACTGAGTATGAAATGAAAACTATCCTGCATTTTGCTCTATTACAGAAAGAATACACTTTTCTCAATAAACCTCAACGACATTCTTGCTATGCAGATTGCCCTGGGCCTGATCTCATATTATATATTCAATTTGTCTCCTTTTTGTCATGAATTCCTGTGATTTATGGGCTAGGCAAGAAGCATGGCTTCATAGGAATGCTGTTCCTACAACGCATTTTAGGGGGATCTAAAGTTTTTAGAACCTGTACATATCAATTTATTAGTGATCTCCAAAACTACATTTAAGAAATTGCACTTTCGCTTGGCATGGGTGTGGCTCAAGAGACTGTATCTTGTGGGAGAATCTCTGCTGGGTAATATTTTCTCTCTAAATGCTACTTTTCTATTGCTAATGAAATATGAGTGACTGCTTAATATACTTTGGTGCAAGAGTAATTTTTCTTTTGACTTTGGGGAGATGCAGATTCCATATATTATAATTAAATCTAGGAAACATTTATTTAGAAACGTACATTGCCTGGCACTGTGAGAATTCAGTCACAGGGTCTACTTTCAAGATGACTGTTTGTAAGAGACGCCACATACCTGACAGGGTGGTCAACAGTGGACCTCCAAAAATATACGCGCACATGTGGATGGGTGGTTATAAGTTAGTTAAATTATGAGTCAAGGGAGGCTTGTGAAAAGGTTTTGTCTGAGGCCGGTGAGGGAGGAGGAGGGATTAACAGCTGGCTAGTGAAAGTGTTACCACAGAAAATGTAACAGTGAGAAGACCAATGTTTGTTGTTGTTGTTAATGGTGCTCCATTAACAGGCGATGGAGCCTGGCAGGATGAGCGCAGGGCTTTGTGGGGCAGGTCTTCACTCAGGAGCCCTGAGGGCCCCGGGGGGTTGCGGAAAGGGCCCTAAAGCACGCGCTGCCCCAGCCTGGGAAGTGTGGGACACACTGTCTGTCTTCGCCCACACAGGAGCCCGGTCCTGGTCTTCCAGTGCAGCGACCGCCACGTGATCTGCCTGGACTGTTTCCACTTATACTGCGTGACGAGACTCAACGATCGGCAGTTCGTCCACGACCCTGAGCTCGGATACTCTCTGCCTTGTGTGGGTGAGTCTAGCGCGTTTTTCCTTGTTTCTGCTGCTGATTAAGAACGGGAGGAAAAGCAGTGACGTCATCGCGTCCTCTGAGTTTCGGGCTCACTAACCTAGGGTCGACGTAGGTGTGCCCAGTCCCTACCTGAGAAGTTGAATTTTCAAGAATCTGTTTGGCCATTGGTGGGCAAGAAATGTTAATTTTTTGATGATAAAAGATATATGAAAAGGAGTTGTGTTGAACTAGAAAATATATGACCTGCATAAACGCACTGAAAGTAAGTTTTGAAGTATTTTTCAGCCAAGGAATGTAAGGTTCATCTATGGCTTCTCCCTGAAAGTTTTAAATTTATTATACTGGATTTAGCACAACACTGCCAATTTTTTAAATAGCTCCCCATCACTAAGATTTTGAACATAGACACAATATATAGAAGAGAATATAAAAAAAGAATGAGATAAAGATAAAATACTCAGTATTTTAAATATATTGTACCTTCAACATTATAAAACACCTTTTACTTGCACTATTAGTGCAAATTATATGCACCATTAATATTATGGCACTACTATATGTGTATTGTTTTTATGGAGACGAAGCTGACCTAACGTGCAATTAATCATTTTAAAGTGCACGATTCAGTGGCATTTCATGAGTGCACATTGTTAAGCAATGACCACCTCTTCTAGTTTCAAAACTTCTGCAGTGCTGCAGAACATTCTCCCTCGGCCATTATAATCCATCTCCATTCTCCCTTTCCCCATCTCCTGGCAGCCATTAGTCTTTTTTCTGACTATGGATTTGCCAAGTCTAGCTATTTCATATAAAAGGACTCACAAAACATGTTACTTGTGTTGACAACCAAAAGTAGGCTTAGCATACTGTTTTTGAAGTTCAACTGAGTGGTGGCCCATGTCAGCACTTCATTCCGTTCCCCGGTTGACTAATATTCCATTTTATGGACATTCCGCCATTGTTTCTCCATTCACATGTTGATTGATCATGTGTCCAACTTTTGCCTTCTATGCTTGACGCGGCTGTCAACATTTGTGTGCTAGTTTCTGTGTGGAAAGTGTTATTTCTCTTGGATATATACCTAGGAGTGCTATTACTGGGTAGTGTGGTAATTCTAGGTTTACCTTTCTGAGGAATCATCAAACTATTTTCCTTAGCTACTGTACCACTTTGCATTCCCATCAGCAAATTACAAAAATCCCATCTCTCAGCCTCACACCAGTTATTTAAGTAAGTAGCCATCCCCCTCGGTGTGCACTGGTAGTTCATTGAGTGTTTGATTATATTTCCAATAGCACTTCCAGTATCTTGAATATCCAAGATACTGGATCTCTTCATACATGGTTATCTGTCATATCTTTTTGTAGAACTATCTAAGTCCTTTGCCCATTTTTCAGTTGGGTTATTTGTCTTTGTCTTGCTGAGTTGTAAGAGTTCTGTATATATTCTGGATACTAGATCTTTATCAGGTATATTATCCACAGACATTTTACCCATTCTGTGTGTGGTCTTCTTCTTAACATCTTTTGGTACTCAAACATTTTAAACTTTAAACATTTTTAAGTTTGATGAAGACAAATTTATTTCTTTTTCTCTCTTTGCTGTGTTTTGGTGTCAAATATAAGACTCTGAGCAAATATAAGGTCAAAGCTGTCAGACAAGTGCTTTCAAGAATGCAAATATAAGGTCAAGAACTGCCATGTTTTTTCTAAAAGCTTTGCTCTTACATGGACATCACTGATCCATTGTGAATGAGATGGCGGAGTTCCTACTGCCTCACATACTTACATGTGAGATGCACACAGCATGATAACGTGCGCTTTGTTGATTTTGAGATGTGGCTTGAAACTGTATGATTCCTTGGTTCAATGATGAGGTTTCAAGTTCAGTTTACTTTGTTTTGGGTACTTAGTTTTAATTGCTCGTAGTTGGAAAATATGCCTCAAAGTTATGCATGGAACGAGTTATTGGCACTGTTGACTTTATGAATTTTGATACTCATTTTTAATTGTGTCTGACAACAATACAATATTTTATTAAGATGTACATAATGTATGTGTCAGTTGTTAAGGTCATAAGATATGTACATGTTTAAGGAAAGCTCATTGTATGGTATTACCTTTTTGTAGTTTTTAGCAAAAAGGGTCAAAAGTCAGGGAAACAGTTGTTTCAAGATTTGGAGATTCCATTTTAGACACTTTAATCTGGTAATTTTTGTATTGAGAACCCTTTTCTTTCAAAAAACTGTGTCATAGAATCATCTCTAAATGTTCACTGCCCGATTGTCTATTCAACTTATTACTTTTAAGAGCATTTATTTCTCACTTTTTAAAAAAAATCATAAAGCTTCTTCGTCGTGGACGTTTTCAGAAATGTGAAGTAAAAAATATTACAATGAACCCCCTTGTACACACTGGTCAGGCTTTCTGCAGAACAAGATATTCTGGGCCTTTCTTCTAATTTTTGCCCAGTGACCTGGAATTGGCCATTTTTCTTAGGAGCCTTGATTCCTTTAATAGGAAATAATACGTAAAATATGTAGAATAAGATGCAGAAGTTACGCTCTTGCCTCTCAGTGTGGTCACTGTTTCTAGACCTCGATGAACATGCACTTTCTCCAAAAAGTGCATAAAGCGACGTCAGTTGGCATTTCGAGTTCCTCTGCAGGGTAAGGAGGGGCTCCTGAAGTTGTTGAGGCCCCTCCCCCAGTCCGTGACTGAGTGACGTCAGCGCAGGTATGCGCTGGTCCTAGCTCACCGCGCAGGCGCCAGCACTAATCTGGCCGCTCGCGTCGTCACCCAGCATCGCCCACTGTGGTTACCGAGGGCAGTGCCAGCTCCTGGGGCGTGTTGGCAGGCGGGGGGTCCTCAGGGGCATTAGAGTCACAGACAGTGACTGGGCAGCGATGTCACTGATTCCTCCTGTGTTCTTACCTCTAACTGACTTTTAAGTTTGTTTTTATAATTATGTTAAATGTTAAAAGGATTCCAACGTCAAAGCTGTCAGACAAGTGCTTTCAAGAATGCAGTGTACCGTGCGTGTCCCCACTGTCTTCAGAATTCTTTCCCCCTCCGGTGGACAAGCCCCTAGAGATGAATCCCCCATTGTGAAAACATGTATGCAGGTGATCGGTAACACCCTACAGGCATTTGTATCCTCCCTTTCTTAAGAATCCGGCACTCCTGTTTGTCACCCTGGTTTTTCCCTCTGCGGGTATGCTCTGTCTGTAGAGTGCCCCTTATCGCATGCTTATCCTTCCATTAAAAAACAAACAAACACTGCACTAGGCCCTCCCTGGTGGCACAGTGGGTTAAAGCACAGCACTGCAAGCTGGCCACAGCTGCTTCAGTGTGAGTTCGATCCCCGCCCTGGAGGTGACCCACAGGGCACAGCAGACCTCGCCTGCCCTCGCTGCTCCCTCAGCAGTGCACTTTGTCAGTCTGCCTGCTCTGCTCCCCACTCTGTCTCTGGTGAATCCTCTCACCGCCCCTGAGCCTCGGCCTGTACCCCAGTTCTGTATGTATAAATAAATCTTAAAAAAACAAAAACAAAAACAGCACTCTTGACTTCCACTGTGCAGATACAGCTTATTTTTTTTCTTAGAGGAGCCCTTACTTTTCATTATTTATTGTAGATCTTGCAAATATCTATGAACATTACGTTTTTGTTACAAGGAAAGCGTGTGAGCACACATACTGTGTGGCGTTCACAGCCCTGATACAGGAGGCCCAGGAGCGGGTTCTGTTGTCTCGGGGCCTGGAGGTCTGCCCTCCGCGAGTGCCCTGCCGGCCAGCGGCTGGAAGCGCGGCAGCTTCCCGCCGAAGCCAGCGCAGTCGTTGAAAGGGTTTCAGAGTTTTTCCCAGGCTTTATGTGGGGAAATGATACTTCCAGCTAGTCTTCTCCTGGAGAAAGTAAACATCTTTTCATGTGTTTGAGAGTCTCTGGCATTCCTGTCTCGCAATCTTTTAAAAACATCGTCTTTTTTCGTGCTACAGATAAAGTGAGTACTTGTTGTCAGGAGTATTTCCCAGGCAGCGGGCGATGTGCCACGCCTCACGGCCGCAGAGGGCCTGGCAAAGTGGGTCAGTCCCATTTTTGTAGGGTTGCGTGGAAATTAGTTTAGACTTTACCAGCTCTTTGCTGCTACCAACTTCCACGTCAAAAAGAAAAAAAAAAAAATCCAGCCCACTGGATTCTACACTAGTTTCGTTCTCTGTAAACATTTTTTAAATTTTGTGTTATTAACGGTGGCGGTGACCTCAGAACTCCGCGAGCTCCTGGGTTCAACTTCGTTTTAATATGAGTGAGGCGGGGGAGGACTCCATCTTATTCTTGCCCCTGAAATTCTTCTCATTATTTCTATGAGCGGATTTCTGTCATTACAGATTATTGAAACATAATCCTCCACGAGGCTTTGATGGGACTTTAAAAATGGCACTTGGTATTGACAGTTCTTCCTTGACAACGCTTTCCTTCAATGTCTAACAAGAAAAAGCACAAAGCTGCAGATTCTCGTACTTGGCCATTGAAAGAGAACGTAGCACAGTCACGGGCGGAGACAGAGACAGGCTGGTCTTCATTTGCAGACGCGCACGGGCCTCAGCCTCCCTCCCCGGTCCTCAGTGTGTGTTAGCATCCCTCTCCCAAAGCACCCACAGCTGAGTGATTACAGCCTGTTGGAATTGTCACGTGTGACATTAGCCTCTTTCTGTGACCGGAATCACAAATATTATTATGTGAAAGGCATGGTCAGGTGTTATGGTGAATTTTCTTTTTTATTTCATAAAAATCAAGCTGGAGAGTCTTGGATCCTTTCTCAACAGGTCTCTCTCCTCGTGTGCCCCTTGCTTGGTCTTTAAATGCCTCGTGCATATCACAGCTTCACACCTCGGTTTGCGGCTCGAGGTGCAGCTGCCGTGGGGGGCACGGGAGCTCACCTGGGTTGCTCTCCGTCAACCCTTCTTCGCGGGACACCTGGAGTCACGCTTGTGCTTAGCAGA